TAAAACTCTGGCTGCAGCATTTTGGATCAGCTGAAGGCTTTTAAACTACATTTTGGGACTTCCTGATAGTAAAAAATTTTACAATAGCCCCCACCCTTGAAGTAACAAATAAAATGGACTATTTTCTCAAAATCCCCCCCTGGACAGGATATTTCTAATTTTTTAATTTTTCCCCCAATGAAAGAAGAAATTTTTTAAAAACCCTTTTTGATTGGGAAAAAATGACAGGCCCCTGATAAAAAAAAACCCACCAAGTTTTTAAAAAATTTTTAATTTTTCTGAAATCATTTTAAAAATTCCCATCCAAAAAAGTAAATTTCCCCAAATATTTTTTTTTTAAAGAGCCCTTTTGGTCCAAAGACTATAACTTCTTTTTGTCTTGCTTTAAGGGAACGGGAAAAGTTAAAAAGTCACCCCGGGTTTTTTTTTCCTTCAAGACATCCTGAAAATTCTATTAATGGGTTAAAGCTTCATCGGGATTTATGCCCAAAAAAGCGGGGTAAAAAATCACAAAAACCCAGGGAAATTAACCCCAAAGCTTTTCTAATAATTCTCCCAATTTGGGGGAACCCAAATGTAAAAAAGTAAAGAAAATTTGGGTTTCCCAGCACTGACCCCCTGGGGGTATTTCCCACGGAAACCTTTGAAGCTGTTGAAGATCAAACTTAAAAATGAACAAACTAAATTTCAATCAAAATAGTTTAAATTTAAAACCAGTCTTCCTTTTTTCCTTTTAAATTCCAACAAAAATATTTCAATTTTTTTTCTAAAAGAATATTATGGAAACCTGAAATAAAATGCAGCACTAAGATCCAACAGGGGAGCACAGATAAAAGCCTTTAAATCTGAGGCCATGAGAATATCATTATTGATTTTTCACCCAAGCTTTTTTCAGTGCTAGGGGAGAGCTCAAAACCCAAAAACAAAAAACCCCTTCAAAAATTTTCTTTATGGTGGAATTGATCGAAAAATTTTGTTTGGCAACTTTTTTCCTCAAGAATTTTGGATAAGAAAGGAAGTTTGGGGATAAAGGTCTAAAATTGGGACCAAGTCACCTGGATCAAGAAAACGTTTTTTTTTTTTTTTTAAAGAAAGAGGTTTAATTACAGAAAACCTTAAAAGCTTTGGGGAAACTTACCCCTTTAAAAAAACAAAGATAGATTAAAACACAAAAAAGGGGAGGAGGAATCAAAGGGAAAAACCTTTCCTTAAAAAAAAAAAACCTGGTTGGAACGGGAAACCCAAAACACCTTTTAAAAGGTTTAAAAAGAAGAGACAAAAATTTGCAAATTTCCCAGAGATTTCCCAAACGGGTTTAAAAAGCAGCCCCTAAAACCCTTTTTCAAAACCCCAAGACAAACCTCGGGTTAAAATCGCGGATAAGGAGTGTTTTAGTTTCTTTTTTTTAAAAATTAAAGACAATCTTTTATAAAGAATCCCCCAAAAAAACCCTTTTTGGCTGCTAAGGGGGCAGGGGGAAATTTTCCCGGTTTTCAACAGAGCAAAGGTTTCTGGGTGATTTGGCAACTGAAATTAAAAAGAAATCTAGTTTATTTTTAAATTCCCTCCTCTATTAATGAGGAAAATATCTGCCTTTTTTTTTTAAAACAAAGGTCCCCCCTTAAACAGCAGAAAACCCAAATTTTTTCCAGCCCTGGGAAGGAACTCCCCCTAAGGCCTGTGGAGCGATATTTTTTTCTCCATTTTCCAGAAAATTTTGCTTAAAGTACGCAGCTTTTTTGCTTTAAAAACCAAAAGGAGAAAGTTTTCCCTTTTTTTAAAAAAACCGGTTTTTCTTTTTTCCCAAAAGGAGCTTGCGTTGTCTAAGGCAATACCCCAGAAAAAACTACCCAACCCCATCAAAAAAAATCATCAACCGGGAAAGGGGAATAAACTAAGCTTTTGCACTCATGCACCCACCGGGCTCATTGACACAGAGGGAAAAGAGAAAGTAAAAGCAGATTCTTTAAAATTTTAAAACCCTGAAACAAATTCTGATAAAAAGACCCTACTAAAATTGAAACCTTTTTTTGGGGGGAGGAAAATTTTCGTTAAAGTAATCCTAAAGGGTTATTGGAAAGTGGTCAGAGGGGCCCGGGTTTTTGGGGAAAATTTACGTTATTTCTTCACTTTCCCCTATGCCGATGTTTTCAGCCCCAAGAACCAAATTTAGAAATTGGGGAATGCGGGGGAACAAATTCACTTTTTGAACAAAGCCAAAAGTGTCTAAGAAAGCATTAAAGGCTGCCCCTTAAGCTATCCCCCCTTTTCAATTTTCACATGGATTTAAAAATTTCCCCATTTAGGGATGACCCTGTAAGTTTTTAAATTACCCAAACCCGAAAGGAATTTCTAAAAACCCCATCTAAAAACCCCGGGAAAAGGACCTGGGGACGATAAAAAATTTTACAAAAAGAAAGTTTTTTTCCCTTCCCTTTAAAATTTTTGGATCAGGGAAAATTTAAGGGGTTTAAATGTTAAAAAGGGGGTTTTGTAGGTTTTAAAATTTGGGGTTTTGGGAGTAATCAGTAAGCCCAGACTGGAAGATTTTTGCTACCCCTTTCCCCCCCTTCGGGGATGGGGAAAATTTAAATCAGCTTGAAGGAGTTCCCCCTCATTTTATGCTCAAAATAACCCCTTTTTCCCTGCAGCCACGGGTTTCTGTAAGGCAAAAAAAAGTAAAATGTAAATTATAAACCAAATCAAGTCTTAACTAGTAGACTTTTTAGGGGTAAGGGGATCTTTTTTTTTAAACAGACCGCTTTTTAATTTTTTTTTAAAAAATTTTTCCCCCAAATTTGGGAAAGTTATTTTTTTTTTAAATTTTAATTAGAAAAAATCATGATTTCCCCTTTTTTTGGGGAATCTTTGCAAAATTTATTAAATTTTTGGTTTCCGTGGCAAGACACTGCCCTGGATGGAGTAAAGAGGGGGTAACAGTAGAAAGTTTGCAGAGATGTGTGTTAAACTACAACCCCTTTTTTTCCTGGTCCTGAAACCCTTTGGGTGGTCAGGGGTTTTGGAGGACAATAAATGGGGCCAGTTTCCCCTAGGAAAAAAAGGGGCTGAAAACCCCAAACCAAAGGGGGAAGGATCCCCGCCCTCTCCAAATCAGACCAGGCTTTTTTTTCCCCAAAAAGGGATTGCCAATTATTAATGTAGCCCACGTTTTTTTTCCCGGGGGCACCACCTAGAAAACCCACGGTTGAATGACGACATGGGGGCTAAACATGCCCATCATTTGGCAACAGGGGGGGGAAAACCAAAAAAATTTAAGGAGCCCAACTTTTTTTTGGGGCAAACTTACACCCCGAAAAAAACACTAATTTTAGTGACCTCCGATCGGCGTAACCGGGTGTCATTACCACCAGCTTGAATAACAATCTTACTGTATTTAACCTTATCCTTAGCCAGTAGTTTCAGGTAGGATTTGATGTCGCCCGTTCTGGCCCCCGGCAAACATTTGACTATGGTCCCTGGTGTCTCTAATGCCACGTTTCTGACTATGGAGCTGCCAATCACCAGAGTGGGCTTCTCAGTGGGTGTGTCACTGAGTGGGGAAAACCGGTTAGAAACGTGAACGGGTTGGTGGTGACCAGTGGGCAGAGATCCACGACTACGCTTTCTGCGTACAGTTACCCAATCGCCTGGCTGCTCAGGCACTTTTGGAGGACAGCTACGTGGGGGGCCTACTTTAACTCCTGGATGTTCAACAGCCTGAAGCCTGGATTCTAACTCTGACACCCTCGCCTCCAAAGCTACAAAAATACTACACTTATTACACATCCCATTATCACTAAAGGAGGCAGAGGAATAACTGAACATCTGACACAGAGAGCAGGAGAGAGGAGAGGAAGAAGGAAGAGTTGGAAAAGAGTCAAGGGAGGGAGAGAGAGAAGCCATAGCAATGCTAAGCTAGCGCTAGCCTAGGCTAGCTACTCCTTGCTATCAGAAATAAAACCGTGTGAAACTGACAAGTGCTCAGTAGAAAAGTGCAGCAGAAGGGGCTATGTTTTAAAGTAGTCAGTTAGAGTTACTTAGATACAGAGATATCACAGAGAAAATAACTTAACTTCAGATGGAGATCCTCTGAACAGCTGCACACTCAGTTAATCCAAACAGGAAGATGGCTTGGAAGATGTCGTTCTCAGCTTTAGATCAGTTATTGCTGTGTATGCTCCACATCACTTGGTGTCAAATCAGTTTCTAGAACTTAAGCAAGTAAGAGAGCAAAATAAAAATGATGTTTATTTGTTTTTCAGAGCCACGACTAAATGTTTCATATAAGCAAACACTTTTTAATAACAGATAAAAGACCAACTTTAAAAATTTAATTTTCATCCTTTTATCAAGAATTCATTCAGTGTTTTTATTTAGTTTTTGTAGAATCAACTAATTTGAGAAGAACCGAAGCATAAAAAAGAGGGGTGCTATCACCTAGCCAAATTTTGCAAGACTTTCAACAGGCCGTTAATGCTTAAAATAAATGCTGTATAGTTCTGTTAGGAAGCGTGAGCCAAAATCCTTCAACCAGAGACTCATCGCTCGTTGTCACAAATGCTGACGATAGATTGTTTTCTCTCTCTCTCTTTGCAAACTTCCTTTTTTACTTCCTTTCTTTGTCTTTTCATATTTGTTTCATCTGAAACATGCAGGTCTTATGAAAATAGGAAACAAATCATTAAGGCATGAATACATTCTCACTGCATTTTAGATATAACCTAATTTTTGATATGCTTTATTGGAGTTTCCTATCCTCATGTTGTATATATTTGAGTTGATTGTCATTCTTTGCCCTGATATGTCCTTTCTTATCTCCTTTAATAACCTGGTTTCCTTACATTGCTTGTTTTTTATTTTTTTCCTTCAGACGTACCTCACTCATCGTCTTAGTCATCTCAGCCTTTTCCCTTCCGGTTCTTGTCTTCTCCCACCTTTAGTCAGTCCTGTTTTCTGATCTTCCCTCCTATCTAATCCCTCCTTCCTTATCTTCCTTTCAGTGGCTCTGGGCCGTAACCAGCCCCTGAAGAGAGAGCGACCTAAATGGAAAAGTGACTACCCGATGACAGAGGGCCAGCTGCGCAGCAAAAGAGATGAGTTCTGGGATACGGCGCCAGCATTTGAGGGCCGGAAGGAGATCTGGGATGCGCTGCGAGCTGCGGCCAGTGCCTTTGAGAGTAATGACCACTTACTGGCTCAGGCCATCCTTGACGGAGCCAGCATCACACTACCACATGGTAAGATACATCTCAAGCACTGACATTTTATGGCCTCTTGGTTATTAGAAAAGATCATTGGTGTCGGGGGGAAAAAAAAAGACTTGTGACTGAGGAGGGTAAGTGTGGTGTATTCAGGTACATTATTGGAAAGTTTAGTGGTAGGAATAAGGCCTAATGCTAATGTTCCCCCTACTTTGAACCACTAGCCCTCACCCACTACCAACACACCTTCAAATTGAAGCCACAACAGTTAGGGCTTAATAATCCTCCCTAGGGATTGGGACACCCCTTGCTGCATAGTTGACCTTTAGGTACGCAAGCGACTGCGTATTGATGAATGCAAATGCATTTCTTAATCAAAATGGAAGACAGAGAAGTTAATGTTGACATAGAATGAAGTGAATGTTTTGGCTTAAAATGATTTGCTAACTTTACAAACGGCAACTCAGAGGAAAATAGTACTATCTCAACAGGCAGGATTTCCTGAAAATTAGCCAATAACAGGAATTTTACTTTCCCAGGTTGGTTCCAACCTTAAAGTGAAAAAGGTTCACATGAGTGCACAGATACAGGTCCATACAATGGTAAGGGACAATTCAAGCCACAAGCACAGAGAAGGAGAAGGATCGTTATTTTTTTGGAGAAACTACAGAAAATAACAGAAGTAGAGAAGTTGCACTCCACTTATTCCTATTAAAACCTCATTCACTGAAAACTAATACCGTAATGCCCCTGCGTTATAGATTCTGCAAGGCCTTGCATCAAAAAATACTGCACAATATCAGTGCAATGAGTGCAATGAAATACCTCGGCTCCAGACGTCCCCGCCCCCTCCGCAGACGCTCCGCTGCACCTCTCCCAAATTGTAGCTGACCGCAGACAGTGCCGCTGACAGGAGGCCGGCTTGTTTGGTTTCATGACCAAAATTGGGTAAAACAACTCGTGAAGTTTGACCCGCTAGAAGAGCGAGCTGCGCGAGAACGCTGGGACCCTTTTTCCACCTGGATCTCCGCTCTTTTTGGCCCTCATGTCCCTCCGTCGTCGGACTAACCTCGCCCCCACTTCCTCGCCACCTCGGCCGTATATCTAGAACCACAGCGTGTACCACAGACCACGCTTCAATACTGAGCATAAATAAAAAATGTCTGTGTCAAGCTTACTGCAACAAACTGCTGTAAGAGTATAACCAGAAGCGAGGTAGGAGGGCAAATAGGTTTAGCGCCACCGCAGTATGGGAGGGAGACGATTATTGTTTACACCCCTAACACATGCTGGTGATATACTGAGGGCCGCATGGTATTTACTCTGAACCCATAGATTGTTTGATATGAGCGTGGAGCTAAGTTCGTTTTAAATAAAACTGGACATAAGTATTTATTATGCATGAGCACTTTTAGCAGAATGCTGAGTTTGTATCGAGTAACTTGGACTCTAATGCAATGGCTGCAGGCAGATCCTCAACATGCTGTGCCAAGTTATTGCAATGATTCATACAAAATGAGGCCTGACCAAGTGTTGAGTGCACAGGTTGCTAATAACTTGGATTAATGTTAATTTGTTTTGTTCTAAATTTCTCTGCTGAATTTCAGGTTTTATTATAAATGGTAAATGGTAAATGGCATGTACTTATATAGCGCCTTTATTCAAGTTAGGAGACTTGACCAAAGCGCTTTACACTACATTCATTCACCCATTCACGCACACACTCACACACTGATGGTGGCAAGCTACATTGTAGCCACAGCTGCCCTGGGGCTCACTGACAGAAGCGAGGCTGCCGTACACTGGCGCCACCGGGCCCTCTGACCACCATCAGTAGACAATGCAGGTGAAGTGTCTTGCCCAAGGACACAACGACAATGAAAGTCGGAGTCGGGGCTTGAACCGTCAACCCTTCGATTTCAGGGCAAACTCCTACATCCAACGCCACTGTCGACCCACATTACTTATTACTTATTACCTGTACTCTCGATGACATACAAAAAAATACATACAGGCTAGGTTTGTGCCAATGTTCTTTTTTTAAAATGAAAACAGGTCACAGATACTGATTTATGCCATAGAAACATAAGGCAAGAAGATGGGGAGGCATGTAGCAAAAAATAACAAATATGTAGCCAAATAAAAAGGCCCTGAAAACAGGCTGATGTAAAAGACAGTCTTTACAGTTAATACAGTCTTTTGAACAAAGACAAGCATTTTACCCTACTGCTATAAAATTTAGTAGAGTTAACATTAGATGTTAATTAACCAAGATAATAATGAACAATTTTCAATCAATACATCAAAATCAATAGACCGACATCACTAGATGGAGGTTCTATGCTCTAGAAAGTTACTTTTCAGCCTCTTAACAAAAATGAGAACACACACAGACACACCCACCCACACACACACACACACACGCGATACCGACCTGTTGCGTACACAGACAGCAAGACGTGCCGTAGCAGATTCCATTTCACCTCAGTAATCAGTTTTCTCAGCGTATTTCAGGTTGCTACTAGTTACCAGACACTCAACTTGTTAGTTGGTGGTGGGGCTTAAAGAAAAGGCACGAGCGTCACCCAGTGTATGAGCGTCTTTTTCCCTTGAGGAGCTCCGCTCTGGAAGCCTATGAGAAATGCATAGACTGGGGGAAAATAGCCCCGCCTTCCCGCAGGCTGCAGCGGGATGTACTTGGAAAATTGTACCATAAAACCACATAGCGTTAATCTCACGTTAAAAAAATTATCGCCGTTAAAATGGCCTCGCGTTAACGCGTTAATAACGCGATAATTTTGACAGCACTAATATATATATATATATATATATTAGTGCTGTCAATCGATTAAATTTTTTTAATCGCGATTAATTGCATCAATGCCTGAGTTAACTCGCGATTAATCGCATTTTAATCGCAAATTTTTTTTCTGATTGAAAATCATTTAAATACTCTCGATGACATACAAAAAATACATACAGGCTAGGTTTGTGCCAATGTTCTTTTTTTAAAATGAAAACAGTTCACAGACACTGATTTATGCCATAGAAACATATGGCAAGAAGATGGGGAGGCATGTAGCAAAAAAAACAAATATGTAGCCAAAAAAAAGGCCCTGAAAACAGGCTGATGTAAAAGACAGTCTTTACAGTTAATACAGTCTTTTGAACAAAGACAAGCATTTTACCCTACTGCTATAAAATGTAGTACAGTTAACATTAGATGTTAATTAACCAAGATAATAATGAACAATTTTCAATCAATACATCAAAATCAATAGACCGACATCACTAGATGGAGTTAGTCTATGCTCTAGAAAGTTACTTTTCAGCCTCTTAACAAAAATTAGAACACACACACACCCACCCACCCACACACAGACACACCCACCCACCCACACACACACACGATACCGACCTGTGGCGTACACAGACAGCAATAGTGCCGTAGCAGATTCCATTTCACCTCAGTAATCTGTTTTCTCTGCGTATTCCAGGTTGCTACTAGTTACCAGACACTCAACTTGTTTGTTGGTGGTGGGGCTTAAAGAAAAGGCACTAGCGTCACCCAGTGTATGAGCGTCTTTTTTCCTTGAGGAGCTCCGCTCTTGAAGCCTATGGAAAATGCATACACTGGGGGAAAATAGCCCCGCCTTCCCGCAGGCTGCAGCGGGATGTACTTGGAAAATTGTACCATAAAACCACATAGCGTTAATCTCACGTTAAAAAAATTATCGCCGTTAAAATGGCCTCGCGTTAACGCGATAATAATTTTGACAGCACTAATATATATATATAACACCTATGTGGTGAGCTGCTCTTTTATTGCCCTTTTTTGAAGTGTAATTTTTTAAAGGGAGAAGATATAAATGTAAATCAGTTCAGCTCTAGATTAAAGGAGTTCAAGCCCTTGAAATGTATCACAATGACATCATTCTGTTGGGAAGAAGTGCCTCAGAGCAATTCAGGAAATAAGAAATGAAAAAGGCTGTTGGTTTAGCCTCATGTGAGTTGGACTGAATTTAGCTTGGCGGCTACAGATTATCCACACCAACCATCAGTATACACCTCTCTTTGACACGAAAACTGTGACAAATACTATTCCCCCCTCCCAAAGTGTCTTAACTTCCTGTTACTTTGTGAGCTGAGCCCTGTATGGAACTCTTTTCACACCTGTTCCTGTTGGATTTATGACTGTTATTTGCTTTAGTGTTTGTGCTGTAAAGTCCTACGTTAATTTCAACACAGGAACTTTGTTTTCCCCCCACCATGATAAAACCATCTGTTTCTGCTAGAAACCTGCGGAAATCTTCCAACACCTATTGCAGGCCTCCATGTCTGTATTACACTGATGACACACAAACAAACAAAAAAAATTGTGTTTTATATGAAAGGGAAAGTCCAATTATCTGAGTGGATTTCAGCTTATTTATTCAGGACTAATCCCTAACAAAAGCCTTGTTGATAAATTGGAATAACATATTAACTTTGCTTCTGGTAGAAATACATGATTGAACCATTTAAGTATTGAAGTTTGATTACATTGTATGATAATCTAACTAAAAAAACTTAGTTTTGACTCCATATTACAACAAATTTTGAATTTCTTTTAAGTCTTTTTTATTTAAAAAAAATTGGTGGAAACAGGGATGAAACAGAACTGAGCAGGGCAGGGATCTCTGTGTGGAAGATAAAGGAAAAAAACAAGTTAACAACATCAGCATTTAACATATGCATGTAGAGTTTGGTGATTAAAGGCAGCAGAGGTTGGAACGGAGCTCAGTTCATATTGAACAGCCCTCAGCAGTTTAATATTATAGCAGCACAGCTAGAGTAATTGCTAAAGGTCACCTCAGGCAGCCTAACTATAAGCTTTATACATATTTCTCTCAGTTATTACATCGGGAAAGAAGTTATTGAGCTAAAGTGATCGTTTTTATATGATGTGGCCTCATTTTTGGATTTAGTCGTCAATATTTCAAAGAAATCTTTCTCACTTTAAATCTAAGCACCATTATTGCTCTGCTGTTTTGTTG